GTACGACCGCCACTCGTCGCCCACCCCTTCCCTCCCCTCGCCCCCCCCCCCCCCTCCGCCCCACTCCCCTCTGCAAGCCCCAAGCCCCTTCCACTCATCATGCATGCTCCCAACATACACGTTGTGCGTAGACGTACGCTCGCGATTCGGAGGGCAACAGACACATCCGCAATGATGTGCTATGACCGCACAACAAGCTGACTGGCCGACGACGACCTCGCTGTGGTGGTGGAGGGTACTCCACGCCACAGGCCGACCGGCCGACCGGCCTACTCCACAAAAGGATCCGCAACGCAAATATGGGTTTACGATGCCTACGGCGCACTCGCGAGTGTAAACGTGATGAGCCGAAGAAGAAGCATGGCATCCGAGGGCGCGGTAGAGATCGGGATGCGGGTCTCGAGGTTGGTCTTGACCTGGAGGAGGATAGACCGGATGTAGGGGCCGGTGAGCTCGTGGGTAGCATCGAGAGCCTGAACAGCCATCGAGAGGAGAGTGAGCTTGAGCGCCTCACTCGCGCTGAGGTCAAACGCAAGCTGCTGGATGAGGGAGAGGAGGACCGGCTGGTCCAGCACCGTCTTGCCCTTGGCCGGGAAGACCGATGAAACCTCGACCAGAGAGCACAGTCCCATGACCACGTCGAGGTTCGACGCCGAGAGCGCAGCCGTGAACGCCGCGTTGACGTCGCCGCCGCTGAGGCCATCATGACGTCAGAGGGCAGCGCGACGGGCGCAGCGTGCGCCGCTGCCGAGGGCGTGGGCGCGGGCGCGGACACAGGCACGAGCGCGGACACGGGCGCGGGCGCTGCCGCTGCTGCCTCGGACATCTCCTTCCGGCCGCCCTTGCGGCGCCCGCCGTTGTTCTTACCCGATGAGGACTTTCCCGTCGCCGCCCCACCCGAGTTGCGTGCAGCCGCCGAGAGTTTGGCCGAGTCTGCCGAGAGCCGCGCGGATGCGGCCTCGATCGAGCGCGACGACGCAAGCAGCGAGTCGGAAGCCGTGACGAGCCGATCGAGAGCCGCCGACTGCGCTGCACGGGTCTCCTCCACCGGCCCTGTCAGCGCCGCCTTGACGCCGGCTTGGAACGTGTCGTTGATCTGGAAGAACATGCGCTGACAGCCCTGCTCAAAGGCCGGGACCAAGCCGTGCTCAAAGGTGTTCTTAAAGGCGGCGGCCACGGGCTGGTGCAGCGCGCCCGAGACCTGCTGCGCAAAGGTGCCCGACCAGTTGGCGAGCAACTTCTGAGTGTAGCTCTCAACCGCCTGCGGAAGGCTGGTGCCAAGCTTGTGCGCCAGATCGGCAACCGCCGGCTGCACCACCTTGGCCTCCAGCGCGCCAAGGAGCGGCGCGAGCGCACCAGGCAGCTCCGCCCGCACCACCTGCGTCACCGTCGGCACCAGCATCTGCTGGGTCGCCGCCATCGACGCCTCCATTGCCCGCTGGAGCGCCGCCTCCATCATCGACGCCTGCGCTGCAAGCGCCTCGGTCTGCATCCGCTGCAGCATGGCAGCCTGCTTTGCCGCAAACGCCTCCATCGCCGCCTCCAACGACGCCTGCAGCCGCGCCTCGGCACCGGCTCCAAGCACCGCCGGCGCGCCAACGCTCGCCGCAGGCACAGCTGCAGGCACAGCTGCGGGCACAGCCGCGGGCACAGCCGCGGGTGCCACCACAGGCACCGCAGCTTTGCGGGTGAGCGCCGGCGTGCCGAGCTGAACACGTGCCCGCTGGACCGCAGACGGCTGGACGCAGTACAAGTCGCGAGTCTTGGCGCCCGGCCCGCTGCCCGGCGCGAGCGAGACCGAGAAAATAGGCTGGCCGACGCCGTACTCGGCGTACCACCCGAGGAGACCGGTAGCCTCGTTAAACTCAAAGACGCCGACAACAGGGAGCTCAGCCGAGGTCACAAAGACCCGCCCGTCCTCGGGCGCCGGCACCACCGAGAGGCCGGCGTCGGCAACGTCGAGCTCGGCATTGGCGAGCTCGATCTCCTGCGAAATCCCGATCTGTGAGTTGCGCGCCCGCACAAGCTGGATGAGCCCGCCGTGGTCGTACTCAATGGCAAGGTCCTTGTCCGAGAGCCAGAACAGCGAGGTGAGCGACCGCCCGTCGCCGCGCGCCGGCAGCGTCCGCATGATCTCCGCCGTATCTAGCCGCCACAGCCGGACCACACCATCCGTCCCGGCCGTCGCCAGCGCCTTGATCGACGACTGGTACGCAGCGTCGAGGACGCCCACGCCCGGCCCGTGATTGAGCGTCACCTGGCCCGACTCGAACGACGGCGCAGAGTAGCCGTTGGCCCCCGCGTACATGAGCGACGAGACAATGAGCTGCGAGCCCGAGCACACGCCCAGAACCGCCGTCTCGGGCGCAGGCGCAAAGCCGAGACCGCACGAGATGTCGCCGCCCGACGGATGTGACCACTTGTACACCACGCTCGACTCGACCTCGTCGCTCTCCTCGTTGAACGCCAGTGAGTGGACCATGAGCAGGCCCCGCGCGCCAACCGTCACCAGCGTCGACACCTCGCCGGTCGCCGGGAGGAAGAACATGTGGTGGACTCGCGCGTGCCCGCGGAGCATGACACGCTCACCAGACTCACGGTGGACCGCCCGAACCGTGTTCTTGTCCACCGCGTACGCCACAAACTCGCTCGTCACCGCAATGACCTGCCCGTGGCTCGACCGCCGCTGCGACGCGCAGATCGAAATGGGCGACTCGACAAGCCGCACCACCCCGGGGTTCTCGGCCTCGAGCCCAAAGTTGAGCACGTTGCATCCGGCCGAGAGAACCGTGCCCTCGGTCACCGGCGCCCCGCCGCTCTGCACAGACACCGCCACCGGCGACATCAGACCGCCGTTCGACGACCCGCCGTCGTCAGACGCCGCACTCTCGGCCTCGCTGCTCTTGACCTTTCAGTCGGCGCAGAGAGGAACGACCGCACAGCCTCGGGCGTCGACGGCAACGCTTTGTTTCCCTGCTGCGCCGCAGCCACCGGCCCTCGCGCCAGATTCGACTTGATAATCGCGTCCAGCTCGCCTGCGCCTGCACTTGATCCCGCGCTCGCACCTGCGCTCGCACTCGCGCTTGCGTCCGCCTGCGGCTTGTTGCCGCCAAGATTGGGGAAAAACTGCGAGAGATCCTCGTCGTCCTGGCTGGCCGCCAGTGCCGCCGCTGGCGCCGGCGCCGGCAGCACCATCTTGGTCGGCGCAACTGCCGCCGCCGCGCCTGCTGAAGCGCCTGCTGGCCCCGCAGTTGCCCCTGCTCCCGAGGCCGCCATCGCGCTCGCTGCCGAGCCGGTCGATCCGGTCGGGCTCGGCGCTGGTGCCACGCCCAGAATCGCCATCAGCGACGCCGACGCCGCGTCCGCCACACTCGGGGACGATGCAGCCGAGCTAGCGCTGGCCATCGAGCCAGCACCATTGCCAGTCGCCGCTCCCGCGCCACCGGCTTCACCCGCACCACCAGTAGGCGTTGAGGCCTTGGAGCTGTTGGGCGATGCGCCCGTCGGTGGAGTGCCGAGCATGGACATCAAAAAGGCCGTCGCAGCCTCAGCCTCTGCCATGGTTGAGTAGTATGAGAAGTCGGAGGTCTGGAGCGGTAACCCGCGGGAATGCCACCGACACCGATACCGACAGAGACAGAGACAGGGCCCAGGCCGTCCACAAGCACACGCACACACGCACACACACACACACACACACACACACACACACACACACACACACACACACAATACCACATCACATACCACATCGCATCACACAACACCATCACACCATACAAATACCTCATGTACATTCGTCCCTCCCGATCGGACCTTCTCT